AATTCCCTGTGGCTACACCTGACACCTGCGCCTGCAGATGCGTGAGTTGGGGGCTGTATTTGCATCGGAGACGAAAGAAAGAAAAAAGAATAAATAAACAAATGAAGAGATAAATAAATAAATAAATAAACGAGGTGAATGATAACAATGACCCTCTGTACACTTCAAGGAGGGGCATATAAAACAAAACCCTCAGCTATAACAAAGCCATAAGAACAACGCATAATATATATTATATATATAATATATATAATATATATATACATATATATATATATATACAAAACTACTTACTAACGGCCTCCAGATGCATATGCACGGAAACAATAAGCATACAAGAGAGGAGGTGTATATACACCTCAACACTCTCAGCTGTACGTACACCGCAGCAACAACTACAGCGCCGTGCACTGCACCTTCTGGTCAGATATTACATGCAACAACCAGGGAGTCGGTTCCCACTCAACACCTGCCTCCGCATTGCTGCTGCTGCTGCTGCTGCTGCCGCTGCTGCCGCTGTTCCTCGGAGGAGTTGAGATAAAGACGATATACGCGTGGCTTGTGTCACACAGCTCCACCAGCGTAATGTTTAAAATACCCTAAAAAAATAATCAGCAAATGCAAAAAAGAAGGAAAAACAGAAAAAAATAAATCTGTCGTCTTCTGTACATGCATGCTCCCGCTATAAATAAATAAATAAATATATATATATATACATTTATATATATATATTGATTTATATATTTATACACAGGAATGCATTCAAATAATATATGCTTAAAAGCGTATAGCTTGGGCAGCAGCAAATGCTGCAGCGCATTGATGCTGCTGCTGCTCCTTTAGTTGATTCCCTACGCATATTTATGTTCTCGATATTTGTATTTATATTTATTAAATATAAATATCAATATTTATATTTAAATTTAAAAGTATTGATTAATTAATTATAGTTAAAAATATATCGGCATCCCGCTGCATAACAAATTCACGACCCCTAATGCAAGCAGCTACTTGCTGCTGCTGCTGCTGCTGTTGCTGCTGCTGTTGCTGCTGCTGCTGCATTGTGGTTCATTACCTTTCGCTGCAGCAGATCCTGAGCAGCAGATGATTTCATTCTCCCGTCATCGCTGAGCCCTCCCTCGAGGTCGCTCTTCTTAACCAGCTGCAGCTGCTTGCCTCCCTTGTTGCTGCTGCCTCCGTTGTTGCTGCTGCTGCTGCTACTGTTGCTGTTGCTGTTGTTGTTGTCTGTCGGAGCAAAAAGATATAAAGACAAGACCGGCGTAGACTTGAGGGGAAGTTTCCGCGCAAGTATCTCTAGGCGCAGCGAGACCTGAAATACGCAGCACCGCAGCAGCAGCAAGAGTAGTATAGCACAGCAGCAGCAACAGCAGCAGTACAGTATCAGCAGCAACAGGAACAGTAGCTCTGTGCAGCAAAAGCCGCAGCAACACCGCAACAGCATCAGCAACAGCAGCAGCAGAGAAACGCGGATCCCTCGAAACAGCAGCAGCAACTCCCGTACATCACCAGCACCAGCAACAGCAGCAGCAGCAGCAGCAGCAGAAGCAAGTAGATGCATGCGTTTACTCGCGTAGGCGCAGATGCGATCTGAAGAGCAACCCTTCCCCAAACATGTTTTGCTGCTCTTGCTGCAGCAGAAGGCCCTCTGATAACTTCATGAAAAAGCCTAGGGTCTGGCGGCACCGCGTATGGGTAAGGCATAGGAAATAAGGAAACCCTCGCGCTGCTGCTGCTGCTGCTGCTGCTGCTGCTGCTGTTGCTGCTGCTGCTGCTGCTGCTTCTATGATGGAGGCCTATCTGGAAAGACCCTAGATTATCTGGTTTAAATGTACTGCAAACTAAAGTATATTCCCCGGGGGGTAAAGAAACAGACAAAATGCAGCAACCTGCTCTGTAGCTTCCGCTGCTCTTCGCTTTGCCTGTTCGAAGTAAACGCGGTGTCGCGAAGCGCCCCATGAACAAACGCAAATTCACTGAGTACTCCTAAATAATATCAAACAAACAAACAAACAAACAAATAAATAAATAGATAAATAGATAAATAAATAAATAAATAAATCATAATAATAAACAATGAATGTAGACGAATACTACATAATAGATATAAAATAGATAAACAAATATATACGTATATATATAATTAATTATTTAATTATACTAATTAATTATACTCTGCATATTTACTTATTGTTTATAAAGTGTTTATTCTTAATAATAACTCAATGAACAGATTAATATATATATATATATATGTTAATATTATTATTATTTGCATAAGTATTATTATGAATATTGTAATTGTTCTTGCTATTTAATAAATAAACAAACAAACAAACAAATAAACAAATAAATAAATAAATAAACTAATTAATTAATTAATTAATTAATTAATTAATTAATTAATTAATTTACATCTGGGCATTCAAGAAAGAAAACGGCATCAACAGCTTCGTTGACTAAAACTCTGAAGTGCGGATTTCTGAAGAAATTCCAGAGGTCGTTGCTGCACCCCCCTGCGTTCTCTCCTCTCCATTCGCCTGAACAATAATAATAATAATAATAATAATAAATAATAATAATAATAATAAATAATAATAATAATGTTTTTTTGTTTTATTCAGAGGTAGAGCAGTCATCATGCTCTCAAGCAGTAACAGCAATAATAGCTGCGACTCGTGCAACAACAGATGCTGATATTAAACGCTATAGCACATGCAACAACTGCTGTAGCAGCAGCAACAACAGATGCAACAGCAGCAGCAACAGATACAACAGCAACAGCTCCAGCAGCAGCAAAACCTCCAGCAACAGCTCCAGCAACAGCAGCAGCAACAGCAACAGCAACAGCAGCAGCAACAGCATCACCTCCAGCAACAGCAACAGCAGCAACAGCAGCAGGAACAGCAGCAGGAACAGCAGCAGCAATGTGTTACCTCTAAGGTAGACGGAAGTCCACTCCGGCCCAAAGAGAGGCGGCAGCGGCTTTAAAAGGGCGGGAATCTGCGCAAAGACCTTCATCGTGAAGTTAAACTCATCCTGCATTAACACAAACCCTAAACCCTAAACCCTAAACCCTAAACCCTAAACAGAAGTGGAGATAGAAGAAGGGCGGATTCCTTCAATTGCATTCACGAGGGTTTAGGGTTGTTCAGGGTTTGTTAATGTTTGTTTAGAGTTATTTATGTTTATTATTGACTAGCTAATGAGCATTATTAATGTTCGTTTATATTATTATTTTTAGTTTATATTATTAATGCTAGTTTATATTATTATCGTGTCATGAAGAAATACCTTTTGGGAATACTGACTGACGACTAAGACGTAGTCTAAGGCTGTCAGGAGGCTGCTGCTAACTGCTTTATCTGCTGTTTTACTCTTTACTCCATGCTGCTGCTGTTCTGCTGCAGCCACCGCGCTGCTGCTGCTGCTGTTGTTGCTGTTGCTGTTGTTATTGCTGCTGCTGCTGTTGTTGTTGCTGTTTGCACCAGCAGCTGCAGCAGCAGCACCACCACCACCAGCAGCAGCAGCGCCACCACCGGCAGCAGCAGCAGCAGCAGCAGCACCAGCAGCAGCAGCCTGAAGAGCCTTCGGGTCTAAGCGTACTTTCACCAATGTGCATTCACCATTGCTGTACACTCCTTGCTTAGTTGGCGGCTGAGGGCAGCAAACTCTGCTGCTTCCTTCAAAGACATGAACAGCTAAATATTTCCCGCTCAGATCTCTCTGTCTTTCTCTAACGTGTCTCGACAGCAGCACCCACAGCTCTACCGGAGCGCTGCTGCTGCTGCTGCTGCTGCAGTTGCAGCAGCAACTGCTGCTGCTGCTACCGTTGCAGTTGCAGTTGCACCCCTCGCAGCAGCGGCTGCTGCTGTCCAATCGTAAGTTGGGGCCGAGACCTGCTGCAGCAGCAGCAGCAAGAGCAGCAGCAGCAGCGCTGCTGCTGCTGCAGCTTCCATCCACAGTAAGCAGATCGCCGTTCGTAAGAGACGGAAACGAAACATACGGAGGCAGCTGCTGCTGCTGCTGCGCTGCTGCTGCTGCTGCTACAGACAAATGCAGCTGCGGGTTAAAAGCCACCATATGCGAATCGTCAGGCAAAAAGGACTCCTGCACGAAACGAGAACGCTCCCACCTGCAGCAGCAGCAGCAGCAGCAGCAGCAGCGGCAGCAGCATCAACAGCAGCAACAGCATTAACAGCAACAGTAACAGAAGCAACAGCAGCACCAGCAACAGCAGCAACAGTAACAGAAGCAGCAACAGCATCAACAGCATCAGCAGCAACAGCAACAGAAGCAACAGCAGCAACAGCAACAGCAGCAACAGAAGCATCAGAAACAGCATCAACAGCATCGACATCAACAGCAAAAGAAGTAGTAGCAAAAGCTACAGCATCAGAAGCAGCATCATGAGCATCATCAGCAACAGCACCAGCAGCAACATCATCATCATCATCATCATAATCATCATCATAATCAGCAGCAGCAGCAGCAACAGTCCGATAATAGACTAACTTTGAATGCACTTCTGAGATGAAGGGGAAGTAGCTCGCATTCCAGCAGACGTACAAATGTGAAAACCACCGCACGACGTCCCGCCACTCAATCCAGAAACAGCCGCAGTCTTCTTTGCCCTGTAACAAAACATTAAAATCTATTTATTTACTTGTTTATTTGCTTATTTGCTTATCTATCTATCTATCTATCTATTTGCTTGGCTATTTGTTTATGTGCAACCGCAGTCTTCTTTGCCCTGCAATAGAACGTAAAGAAACTATCATTTATTTATTTATTTATTTATTTATTTATTTATTTGTCTATTTACTTGTTTATTTGCTTGTTTACTCATTTACCCTAAACCCTAAACCCTAAACCCTAGCCAGTAGACCCTAAACCCTCTAAATAATAAATATATTATCCTAAATTACATATAAAATAATATATTTATAACAAATATATACACATATATTATACATATTATATATTATATATATCATATATATATACATATATATATATATATATACATACATATAAATATATATATATATATATATATATATATTTATATGTCTCACAGCAACAGCCGGGTCATAGTTGAGTGCGTCTTTGAGTTCGGAGTTCCACGTCTTTTTATCTCCAGGTGAAAATTTGCCTCTCCAGCGCATGCAGCCCCAAGGGTTTTTAACATATAATAAACGAAAGCCTAAGACTTCAGCGTGGCGAAGAACAGAGTAGGCGTGGCGAGCTACGATGCCTTCATAGAAAAACAAACAAATACAAATCAAACAATATTAACTACTTAATTACTTTAAAAAAAAACAAACACAAAGAAATAATAATACAATATCTTTTACTATAACAGATAATTAATGCGTTTTAAGAAAAACAAACACAAAGAAATAATCATGCCTTTAATTCAAACATATAAATAATGTTAGTTTAAATAAAAAACAAACAAAACAAAGATATTATAAAGACTATAATATCTTTAAATCAAACAAAAATAATTGCTTTGTATACAGAACAAACAAACAAAAGGAAACAACATAACACAAGAAATAACAAAAGAAATAATAAACGAAATAGAAGAAGAAGAGGACACAAAAGATAATAATAACAATAATAATATAATAAATAATAATAATAATAAAATACTAACGAAAAAAATAATAATACGATAATAATAAAATAACAATAATAAAATGATAATAATAGCAATAATAATAATACTAAATAATAAAACAATAATAAAATAATAAGATAAAATAATAATAAAAGAATAATAATAATAACAAAAGAATAATAAAAGAATAATAATAATAAAATAATAATAAAATAGAAATAATAAAGAAATAACCTGTGCTAACTGAGACGCCTTCAGGAAAGTCTAAGCCGCTGGGCGCCGCATCGAAGACTTCGCTTGTACCCAGACATGCAACGCAGCGGCCTTCACTTAAACCCCTGAACAAATAAAATAAAATAAAATAAAATAAAATAAAATAAATTAAATTAATATAATATAATATAATTGCAGCTACTGCAGCAGCAAAATAAGCGCAGCAGATAATATAACAGATGCTGCACCAGCAGCAGGATCTGCAACAGCAGCAACAGCAGCAGCACGTGCTGCTGCAGCAGATGAAGCAAGTGGTAGACAATACACAGGCAGCAGCAATAGCAGCAGATGAAACTGTAAAAGTAACACCAGCAGCAGCAGCAGCAGCAACAGCAACAGCAACAGCAGCAAAAGATAAAAAACAAAGTGGGAGAGAAGCAAGAAAGTTAAAAAAAGAAAATAAATAAACGAACGAAGATATCCAAAATATAACAAAAAAGAATAAACACAATTAAAGATAAAAATATTGATGTTAATAATATTAGCATTAATATATAATATAACACTAATATTAATATAAATATTAATACAAGAAACAACAATATATATAGATATGTTGTATATAGTTAAAAAATAATACTAAATAATTATAATAGAAATGATAATAACAATAACAATGACAAAAACAACAACAACAGCAATAATAATATAAAAAATAATAATAATGAGACAAAGTATAATGATGAGACCACAAAGAATAACAAGAGAAACGAGAAATAAACAAACAGCAAATAAAAAAGCAGAGTATAAACAAATAAAAGATAAACAAACAGAATATAAGCAAATAAAAGATAAACAAACAGAATATAAGCAAATAAAAGATAAACAAACAGAATATAAACAAATAAAAGATAAAGAAGTAAAAGACAAACGAGGAGAAGCAAAGCAATAAGAGTATAAGCAGTTAATAAAGCAGATAAAATAAAAGTAAGTAATAGAGCAGATAAAATAAAAGTAAGTAATAGAGTAGATAAAATAAAAGCAAGTAATAGAGTAGATAAAATAAAAGCATAAAGAAGATAAAGACTGAAAAGAAAAGACTAAAGGAGATAAAGAGTAAAAAGAAAAGAATAAAGAAGATAAAGAGTAAAAAGAAAAGAATAAAGAACAAACCTTTGAAGCTGAAACCAGACGAAGTCCCAAGTAGGATTTTGTCTTTGTTTAATTAGAGTTTCTTCTGTCTCTCCGCCTGTTATAATCGGTGTATGAGTAGAGGGTGTACCGCTATGAACATCACTTCTAAAAGGAACAGTCTCAGGCAACCAGCCTGTTAAATGATAAAGGTCCGCCCCTGGGTTCGAACCCTGCATATTATAGCTGCCTCCCATTAGCTTAACAAATGCTTTCTCTAGAAGTGACACCCATAGCTCTGCTGCTTGCTGAGAATGAGCACATAATAGCTTCCCGTCTACTTTTGTAGGTAAATAATCATCTACTAAAACCTTTCTCGCAACGCCGTTAAAGAATAGCTTCACACCATACATACCTCGAGGGTTATACACTGGACGGTAACGCATGCAGCTACTGTTGCTCCTGCTGCTCCTGCTGCTGCTGCTGCTGCTGCTGTTGCTGCTAGTGTTGGTGTTGTTGCTGCTGCCACGGCTGCTCACACTGCAACCACTACTACTACTACTACTGCTGCTGCTGTTGCTGCTGCTGTGCTGCTGTACACGCCGCTGGGGGTGGATAAGACTAGATATGACAGGAGAGTTATGTCTACGCTCGTAGTCTGCTAACACTGCAAGTGAAGCAAGAAAAGAGCAATCTCCTACAAACCCCTGACGAATGCTGCGGCTGCAAGGTAAATCAAACAGCACTTCAGGCTGTACAGGCTCCTGCTGCTGCTCCTGCTGCTGCTGCTGCTGCTGCTGCTGAAGGGCGTCGCTGATGCGCCGCCACGCGTAAAACTTCTGCTGCTGCTTCTCAGATAATGATAAAAAACCCTCAGGGTCAGACCACTTCCCTTCAACCCAACCTAACGGATGCGTTGCTGCTGCTGCTGCAGCAACTGCTGCTGCCCGCGAAGCGCTGCCACCTTGGGCTGCTGCTGCTGCTGCAGGATCCGTAGAAGAAGCGCTGCTGCCGCCACAGCAGCCCTCCGTTATGTACAGCCCAGCTGTCCCTGAATCCACTTGTAATTGCTTTTCTTTGAGCTTCATCATCTGCTGCTGCTGCTGTAGCTGCTGCAGCTGCTGCAAATACTGCAGCTGCTGCTGTTCAATGGGGCGGCCAGCAGCACCAGCAGCAGCACCTGCTGCTGTAGGGATTGAGGCGGCGCTGGGTGGCGGCACGCGACTGTGTATAGCGACTGGTTGTGTCTGTATAGCAGCAGCAGCAGCTGCTGCTGCTGCTGCTGCTGCAGGCCCGCAGCTTGTGCTGCTGCTGCTGTCTGGGGGGTCGCAGTCAAGATAGAAATTGTTTTTTATGTCTTTGTCTTCATCGCTCCAGGGCAGCATCAAAAAGGAACCAACTAATGAAGACTCCATAAGCAGCTGCTGCGCATACGCCTCGTAGCTGCTGCTGCTGCTGCTGCTGCTGCTGCTGCTGCTGCTGCTGGTGCGGCTGGCCTCACGTAGCAACTCCGCCCGCACGTTGCTACAGTTGCTGCAACCGCTGCAGCCCCGTGCAGCAGCAGTAGTGCCTGCTGCTGCTGAAGCAGCAGCGGCAGCAGCACCTTCTCCATCAGGAGCGGCAGCAGGCTTTCCTTGATTCCGATCAAATCCTGCTGCTGCTGCTGCTGCTGTTGCTGCTGTTGCTGCTGCTGCTCCGCTGGCGACGGCCTCAAAAGAAGCACCTCCTTTGTGAAGCCGAGCTCGGGTTTTCCCTCGTGGTGGAGGTGGTGGTGCTGCTGCTGCTGTTGCTGCAGCAGCTGCTCCTGCAGGAGCACTCGCTGCTGCTGCTGCTGCCGTCAGGTCATCACCCGGGCGGACCTGCAGCTGAGCTCGATGGCCCCTGCTGCTGCTGCTGCTGCTGCTGCGGCTGCCTCCTCGACGGGAAGCACCAGGCAAGTCATGCCAGCCTAGAGCAGCCCCAGGCCCTCCCTGCTGTCCAGCAGCAGCAGCAGCTGCTGCTGCTGCTGCTGTTGCTGCTGCTGTCTGCGCCGGAGCCCCTGCAGTTCCCGCTGCTCCAGCGCCGACTTCACTGAAGACACTTGCTCCTGACTGCAGCAGCAGCTGCTGCTGTCGTTCTGGTTGCATGCGCAGCCCCTCCTCTCGCAGAAGCTGCTGCTCTTGCTGCTGCTGCTGCTGCTGCTGCTGCTGCTGTCTTACGTTAGCAGTTTCACTCGTACACCCAGCTACGGCGGAGGGAGAAGCAGCACCAGAAGCAGCAGCAGCAATGTCTATACGAGGAGCAGCAGCAGCTGCTGCTGAGGTGGCGCGAACCGCTGCGTTTTTCGTGCACTGCGCTCCCATGATCTGCTGCTGCTGCTGCTCCTGCTGCTGCTGTTCCTGCTGCTGCTTCGTCGACTGCCGTTGCTGTTGCTGCTCCACCTGCTGCAGCCTCTGGAGTAAGTGAACACGGCTAACTACAGAAGACCTGCAGCAGCGCCGTGCATTGCTGTGAGAAGCCATACACTGCTGCTGCTGCTGCTGCCGCGATGCTGCCGCCACAGCTGCTAGTCCTGCTGCTGCTGCTGCTGCTGCTGCTGCTGCTGTCAATGTCGCTGCTTCTACTGCTGCCGCTGCTGCTGTTGTTGTTGTTGTTGCTTCTGCCAACACTATTGCTTAGAGGATTCAGTGGTAACGCCCGCACTGCTACTAAAGCTGCTGTTGCTGCTGCTGCTGCTGCTGCTGCTGCAATTGCTGCTGCTACTGCTGCTGCGGCTGCTGCTGCCACTCAGTAATTTCTACCAGAAGATTATTGAAGGCCGGCTGCCGTTGCTCTTCTTCTGCTCAACGAAGAGAACAACTGCAGCAGCAGTCTGCTGTTGTTGCTGCTGCTGCTGAGGATGCTTGTGAGCCGGCGTCTGCGGCTGTAGTCGGCACTGTCTATGGCTTTGCTGCTGCTGCTGCTGGATCTTGCTGCTGCTCCGTGTTGCAGCTGGACAAGCTGAATGCATTCCCTTCAGAGAGCAGCAACAGCAGCAGCTGCTGCTGCAGCAGCAGCAAGGGACCCGCAGCAGCAGCAGCCGGCGCAGCCTTTCGCACAATAGAAGCCTCGTAGAAGAAATCTGACTGTAAGGGATTTCTTAAGGCTGCTTCTGTTGCTGCTGCTGCAGCAGCACTGCAGCAGCAGCACCTGCTCCTGCTCCGTTCACTGCCTTTGGGCTGCGCTGCAGCAGCAGCAGTAGCAGCAGCAGCCAGCGATCTTCTGCTGCTTATCTGCAGCAAGTGCTGCAGCAAATGATGCCTAGAGACAAAGAAACGAACCCAAAGATTCGTGGCAGTTCCCGCTGCTGCTATTGTTGCTGCCGAGGCAGCATCAGCTGCGCGAGCAGCAGTAGCTGCAGCAGCAGCAGCAGCAGCAGCAGCAGCTCCTGCTGCTGCTGCTGCATCGGCAGCGCGCACTGACGGCTGCTGCTGCTGCTGCGGCAGGTCTAACCTAAGTAGCATGTCTTTGTTTCATAAAACAAATCAAATACATCTACGCGTTATAATCATTGTAGGTGGGTGCAGCAGTAGCAGCAGCAGCAGCAACAACAACAACAACAACCGCTGCAGCACGCTGCTGCTGCTCCAGTCGGCGGAGACCCTGGAGGCCCCCGTCTGGGCCTCATTACTATTGGGCGTGTCTACTTCATGAGTCATTCATTTCTTAGCAGTTCTGCTGCTGCTGCTGCTGCTCTTATTCGTCCTGCTGCAGTTGTAGCTGCTGCTGCTGCTGCACTGCAGCAAGACAGCATCCCCCCCTTATGCTGCTTCGTGTGGGGCCGCAGCCGACCCCAACAACGAATTCCCTCCCCCCTAAGGGCAGATAAGGCGACAAACGCCTCAGCAGCAGTAGCAGCAGCCTCAGCAGCAGCAGCAGCAGCAGCAACAGCACATAAAGAGACAGCAGCAGCAGCAGCAGCAGAGGCGGGAGAAGGATGTTCATCCCGCTGTGACCATAGTTGGCTCAGCTGATCCACACAAAAAGAAAAGCAGCAGTTGCAGCAGCAACAACAGAAGCAGCAGCAGCAGCAGAAGCAGCAGCGAAGCAGCAGCACAACAAAGGCATCACAGCAGCAGCCACCAGCTGCCTATGAACCGAGGAGCAGCAGCAGCTGCCGCAGCAGCTGCTGCTGCAGCAGCTCGACAGCAGCTGCATGAACAGCGTCGGGCTGCTGCAGCGGCGTGGGGTGTTTACTTTGTGGTGCTTTGCTGCTTCTGCTTGGCATGGCTGCAGCCCCTGAGCGCAGCAGCAGTTGCTGCAGCAGATGCTGCTGCTGCTGCTGCTGCTGCACCTGAAGCTGATGTGTACAGCGAGACTGTCTTTACAGAGCCGCTGCGCTCTCGGGGTCTCTTCTTTGCACATTTTGATTTGCGGCTGAGGACAACAGCCCTAGGTGAGGCAGCACGTGTCTTGCTGCTGCTGCTGAGTCTGCTGCTGCTGCTGAGTCTGCTGCTGCTGCTTTTGGTGCTGCAGCGCTTGCTGCTCCTCTCGGTGTTGCTGCTGTTGCTGTCACTCCTGTTTTTTGCTGCCTCTGCTACAGGAGGGAGTTGAGCGGCAGCACGCTTTCATCTATTTGCCTGTCTATCTGCTGCTGCTTCTGCTGCTGCTGCTGCTGCTGCTGCTGCTGCTGCTGTTGTTGTTGTTGTTTAGGGTATTCGTTTACCGGTCTGGAGACCCATTTAAATTCTTTTCCTCTGGGGATCGCCCGGCTGCTGAATCTGCATTTGCTGCAGCAGCACCGCAGCAGCCTGCTGCAGCCATCGCAGCAGCTTCAGCCCCAGCAGCAGCAGCAGCAGCAGCAATTGCTGCCTCACGCTTTTTCTTTTATTGATTTATCTCTAACTCAGGGCAGATGGAACTCTTCTTGGGGGCATCCTGCTGCTCCTCCCAGACCCCCTGGAGCGCTGCTGCGAGCCGGGCTGTCTCAGCATCCTGCATACAATCACCAAAGGTGCTGCTGCTGCTGCTGCTGCTGTTGCTGCTGCTGCTGCTGCTGCTGCTGTTGCTGCTAGTGATGCTGCTGCTGTTGTTAAGGCATCTGCTGCTGATTATTGGACTGTTGCTGCCGCCTTTTGCTTCGGTACTGTTTAGGGGGGTCTTTCTTTTTTCAGCCAAATGTTGCTGCTGTTGCTACTGCTGCTGTTGATGCTGCTGTTGCTGCAGGCTGTGGGATTACTTGGCCCATACACTTTCGGCTTTGACCTGCAGCGGCTTGTCGCGTCTTGCTGCTGCAACAGATGGTGTCCTCACGCAGCCTAATGCAGCAGCAGCAGCAGCAACAGCAGCAGCAACCCCAGACGAGCAGCAACAGCAACAGCAGCAGCACCAGCAGCAAGCGTATATACAGCGGATGGCTACACTGCCGGATGCAGCAGTTTGTTCAGACACCCACAACAACATCATGCGGCTGCTGCCTTGCAAGCAGCAGGTGAGGCCCTCACCTGCTGCTGCTGCTGCTGCAGCCGCTGCTGCTGCTGCCGCTGCTGCTGTAGCTGCTACGACGAGTATCCTGTCAGACGTATGTGCTGCCGTTCCTCTCGCTGCTGCTGCTGCTGCTGCTGCAGGCTGGGTTGCTGACTGTTGTGCATCCATACTCACTTGCAGCCTCTCCCTACAAATCCTATCGACTACGCGTCAGCCCCTTTGCGCTTCAGCAGCAGCAGCAGCAGCAGCAGCTAGTTGCTGAACTGCGGCTTGAGCTCTCCGTCGTGCTTCGATTCCCTGACGAACCAAACCGTAGGCAGTTGCTGTTGTGCTGGTGCTGCTGTTGCTGGTGCTGCTGTTGCTGTGTGGCTATAAGTTTGCTGCTGCATGCGTTTTTTTGCTGCTTCTGCTGCTGCATGGGGCTTTTACTTGCAGTTAGTTTGTCTCTAACAAACCTCTTCAGCAACGTCTACCTGCACGTACACCCCAAAGCCTTGGAGTCAACGGCAGACGGGAAGCAGCAGCAGCAGCAGCAGCAGGACGAGAGGCAGCGGGAGCTGCTGCTGCTGCAGAATCCTCCCTCGTTCGGCCGTTGGCATTGCGTTGCAGCCAATAGCAGCAAATGGCTTCTGCGTGTCTTCCACGAAACGGAGAGCAGCAGCAGCAGCAGCAGCAACAGCAGCAGCAGCAACAGCAACAGCAGCAGCAGCAGCAGCAGCAAGAGCAGCAGGGCAGCTGAGAGAGTCCAGCAGCTCGTTTCAGCTGCTGGGTTTTCTACTTATGATGTTTATACGGCAGACAGTTCTTCCTCCCTTATAGTTCTAGACCTGCAGCAGCAGCAGCAGCAGCAGCAGCAGCAGCAGAAACAGCAGCAGCAGCAGCAGCAGCAGCAGCAGCAGCAACTGGAAGAATGGCTGGGGTACAGGTGGCGCCTCCCAGCAGAGTCAAAAGGCTTCTCCTTCTCCCGCGGGTTTGGGGCAAACCCTGCTAAACCCTACAACGACAAGCTCCATGGTAACACGAGGGTTTAGGGTTTAGGGTCTAGGGTTTAGGGTTTAGGGTTTAGGGTTTAGGGTTTAGGGTTTGAGGCGGTATATCTGTTGAGTCTCGTCGGCTCATAAAAGCGGAATTTCTGCTGCAGATGTCTGCGGGTAGCAGCAGCGTTAAGCTTTGCTGCTTCCACAGCTGCTGCTGCTGCTGCTGCTGCTGCTGCTGCAGGGACATATTGGGTATCATTTGAGAACGACAGCGACGCCGCGACTTCAGCGGCTTTCGTTGATTTGCTGCCTCCAAGCGCTCTGCCTCTCGTTGCTGCAGCGCAGCTCGTAGCATACCCGCTGCTTAGTGACCCGCAGCAGCAGCAGCAGCAGCAGCAGGAGTGTGCCCTGGTGAGCTGATGCCTGCACACATGCTGCGCTGCTGCTGCTCTGGCTTGCTGCTCCTGTACCAGCTCTTCTGGGGTGTAGCTGCGCAAACGGTTGCTGCTGCTGCTGATCTTGTTGTTTTTGCTGCTGCTGCTGCTGCTGCTGCCACGCAGAACTTGGAGGGGGCCGAAGCTCTCCGTGCGTCCGGCCTGGTGCTGCAGTCGCCTGTGACTAGCGAGATATCTGCTGCTGCAGCAGCAGCAGCAGCAGGAGCAGCAGGGGGTGTGGGGGCCTCAGCTTTAGCTGCTGATGTTGCTGCTGCTACTGCTGCTGCTGCTACGGCAGACGGGATGCAGGCGGCCCCCTACGACTCCTGGCTGCCGCATTGGCTGAGGGTGCGCTCCAGCTTGCTGCCGGATGCAGCAGCAGCAGCAGCAAAGCAGCAAGAGGGGGCCCAGCTGCTGCTTCCTTCAGCTTTGCTGCAGGGCTCGGTGCGTCTGCCAGCCCGCTGTCGGCTAATGCTGTCGCTGGGGCTGCGGCTGCTGCTGCAGCAGCCGCAGCTGCTGCACTCTAACCCTCAGAACGGCATCTCTCTTGGAGGGGCCTTTGCTGCAATTCGGGTAGGCAGCAGCAGCAGCAGCAGGATAATGAAATGGTGCAGCAGCCACAAATGCAGTTCTCGCAGCAGCTTCGAGTGCAGTAGCAGCAATAGCATTAAGTGCAGCAGCAGCAGCAGCAGCAGTAGAACCACGTGCAGCAGAAGCATAAGATGTTGTTGCTGATGCTTATTTTGTTGGTTTGCTGCAGAGGGAAGAGGGCTTCTCCTGGCCTCCTGCTGCTGCTGTTCTAAACAGCGCAGCAAACGCATGCAGAGTCAATCAGACTCCTCCTTGCAGCATTCAACCCCTTCCCAGCGCAGCAGCAGCAGCAACAGCTGCTGCTACAACAGCAGCAGCATCACCGGTGCAGCAGCTGCAGTCCCTAGCCGATGGCTTCTCGGGGTTTGATGAGTGAGTCGATGGGATGCGTGTGCTGCTGCTGCTGCTGCTGCTTGCTGCTGCTGCTGCTAATTCTTGGTGCTGCTGCTGCTAAGCTCTGCTGCTGCTGTTAATTGCTGCTGTTTGCATGCACAGGGACCTTGAAGAGAGAGAATGGCAGTGGGCAGCAACCGCCGGCGCCCGACTGAAAATACCGCTGCCAGACTTCGGTAAGCAGCAGCAGCAGCAGCAGCAGCAGCAGCAGCAGCAGCACATAGAACAGCAGCAGCAGCACTAATGCTAGCGTCTGCAGAAGCCCAAATACAACTAGCAGCAGCAGCAGCACTAGCAACAGCCTCATCACCAGCAGCAGCAGCAGCAGCAGTAGGATGTGCTGGTTTGTTGTTTTTTATTTTGTGCAGATATGCCCTTCAACGTAATTGCAGCATCAAGCACTTGTCTGATGCTTCTTTTCGGGGTAATCTTCAGGCTGGCTGTACTCAGGAGCTAAATAAAATATATATAAATACACTTCCCTGCTGCTGCTGCTGCAGCCACCGTAACAGCAGCGGCTGCTGCTGCTGCTTCTGCAGAAACGAGTAATGTTTGTTTTGTAATTCGATTTAAAGTAGCTGCAAAACTGGCAGCAGCAGCAGCAGCAGCAGCTGTGGCTGTTCCCCACTGCGGCAAGTGCTGCAGCACAACCTGTTGTTGCTGCTTCCGCAGCACCTGCTGCCGCAGCAGTTCCTGCAGCAGCGGGTGCTGCAGCAGCAACAGCAAAAACGATGCCTTCGCATGCACGAGAGGGAGGATTATTGTGGAGTGGGGCTGCACTGGCTGCCTTGCTGCAGCTCTTGCAGCAGCTACACAGCAGCAGCTGCTGCTGCTGCAGCTGCAGCAGCAGCTACACTGCAGTAACAGCTGCAGCAGCTAAGCTGCATCAGCTGCACCAACTATACTGCAGCAGCTGTAAGAGCAGCAGCATTACTGCAGCAAAGGCTGCACGACAGCAACTGCAGCAACAGCTACATTGCAGAAGCTGCAGCGGCAGTTATATACTGCAGCAGGTGCAGCAACAGCAGCAGCAGCTCTCGCAAAGCTGCTGCTGAATTATAATGAGTCTCTTCTGGCTCTGTTTCTCTTGGGGCACTCCATAACAGGGCTGCAAAGAAAGAAGAGCAGCCGCGTAAATGCTGATAGCTGCTTGGTGCAGCAGTGGTCTGCTGCTGCTGCTGTTGCTGCTGCTGCTGCTGCTGCTGCTGCTTCTGCTGCTGCTGTGCTGCTGCTGCCGTTGAGGCCCGCCTCTAAGTCAACCAAATCCCCTGTAGCCTGTTCTGGTTGTTGCTGTTGTTGCTGGTGCTGCTTCTGTTGCTGCGGCTGGCTTGGGAGGTAGCTGCTGCTGCTGCTGCAGAGAGCAGCAGGGGCCTGCAGCTCGTCAGCAAGTGAAGGAAGAGGCGCCGCCTCAGCTAGTTGGCGCTGCTGCTGCTGCTGCTGCGACAAATGCATGCGCAGCAGGCGTGGGGATGTCAGAGGTAGCAGCGGGAGGCTGCTGCTGCTGCTGCTGCTGCTACAGGTGGTGCTGCTAGTAGTATGGGTTTGCAGCAGCGAATCTTCACTTGTCACCGACTGAGGCGAGAGGCATCTTTCCGTTTGATTTTGCTGCTGCTGTTGCTGCTGCAGCTGCTGCAGCACCAGTGTTTGTTTGACTGCAGCTTGCGGAGCAGCAGTATGCGGTGTTGCTGTTGCTGCTTGAGCTGCTGCTGATGCTGCTCGGAGCTGCTGTCTGAGCAGCAGCAGTTCTTCTTGTAGCTTCTTTGCTGAGGAAGCAGAGACTTCTTTGTCTTTCTGCAGCTTGCTGAGTTTAGCAGCAAATGCTTCTCGTTCTTTGTGAAGCCGCTTGCTCCACTCTAAGGCAGCACTTGCACGTTGAGACCGTGCAGAAAGCTGCTGCTGCTGCACCTCTGTCTGCAGGTCAGCATGAGCCCTGCGTAGGGCTTCTCTCTCCTGCCGCAGCTGCTGCTCCCGTGTTCTCAGTTTTGCTGCTTCTGATGCTGCTTCTTGCAAGGCCGCTTCACGCTGCTGCAGCAGCTCCTGCTGCAGCTGAGACTCCTCTTGCTGCGCCTTCAGCTGCCGACGGAGACACAGCAGCTGCTGCCTCAAACTTGCAGCTTGCTGCTCCAGAGCCAGCTCTGCTTCCCTATCCTGCTGCTCTCGCTGCTGCTGCAGCTTCTCAAATACCTGCAAGCGAATGCTGTCTCGGCCTGCTGCTGCTGCTGCCCCCGCCGACGCTGCTTGCTGCGCTGCAGCAACAGAGCTCGCAACAGCAGCATCTGCTGCTGCTGCTGCTGCAAACGATCCGCTGCAGCAGCTGACCCCACAACGCCGAGACGAATGCAGCAAACGGCAGCCCCGAGGTGTATGTACAGTTCGTGCAGTCTCTTCTTCAAGGCCCTCCTCTACATGCACAAACTCTTCTGCTGCTGATGATAAGAAATCCTTTAAAGGCTCTCCTCCGCCTCTTTTAGTATATACATAATCAAAGATTTCTCCCGATGACTCTCTTGTTGAGGTTGAAGATAGGAGTCGTGTGTTGCAATAACCAACGGGAGTGGAACCAGCAGCTGCTGTTCCTGCTGCTGCAGTTGCTGCTGCAGTTGATGCGTCTCCTTTAGCTGCTGCATCCAACTCTGATGAAATACAAGGATCTTCAAACCCCGGCATTTTGCTGCGCCTGAGGGTACGGGGGGCCCCAACAGGGCAGCTCAGCAGCGACGGTGCGGGGAAGGGGGTCTTGTCTAAGCGCCTCTCTAGCTGAAAGGAAGCCCTTTAAGCCGCCTGCTTTTAGATACAGCAGCAGCAGCAAATAGTCTGCTTCTGCAGCAGCAGAGCAGCAGCGCCGATGGGGCCCAGCTTGCTGGGGAGAAGAAGCCGCTGGAGTGGAGCTGCCGGTGTCGTGAGGGAAGGCTTCTCTATTGCTGTCTGTACGTTTTTAACAGCACTGTACAAAGAAGAAAGAGAAAAAAGAAGCAAAATGCCTGTCAGAAAAAGCCTAAGAGAAATCCATAAGGAAGGAGGGCGGCGGGCGCCGGCTGCACTTACAGTGGCGTGTGCAGCAGAAAGACGATCATTATGTTCAAATAAACGGATATATAAACAAATAAACTTTGATTTATTCGATTTAAACAATACTTAACTAATAATTAAGAGAGATCACTCAAGAACGAGGGGCTGCAACTCGAAGGCTGCAGGCCCCAGGGCCGCCGCCGACGGCAACAAGGCCACAGAGGCAGTGAGGGCCATTGGCTGACTAAGGGGCTTCAAATAGCTGCTCTTTTGCAAATTTTTTTCGTTTTTATTTATTTATTATCCAGTATTTCCTCGGAATTACCTTTATTCTTCTCAGTTTCCCGCTGAATTCTGCTCCCTCCACCGTCATCGGCACCGAACAGGCCACTTGAATTGAATGAACGACTGCCACGCACGATGGCCCACTGCACCCAAAACTCCGTCACAGCAACCCGGAAAAAGCGTAAAAATAATCAAATATCAAAACAAATTCAAAGAAAAAACAAATCCTCTTTGTGTGTTCTTTGAATAATGCCTTTATATTGGGGCTCAAGCAGACTCTGCAGCTTTCCGCTCACAGGCCACCCGCTGTGTGTATGTACGGCCTCCACTACACTGACGCGTCTTTGGGTTTTACGATTTCGAAAGTGAAATTAAAGAGTAAAAAATTATTCCATTTTCTTTCTAGAGAATATACAGCTATTTATTGGTGTAACGGTGGTTACCCTGATTTACGTGCAGAGACCATTGGTCCTTCCTGGTGGTCATCTCTAGAGAGGGAGGCAGATAATAATGGAATAATATTCGTGATACTAAATTTAATAGTAGTAAATTATATTGAAACGGTGTCTCTAGCGTACACATAAATTCATACGTTGTTTTTTCTCGTTTCACGCTGCACCCTTTTTGATAGCATCATCCAGCTGTGCTTGCAGGTATATCATAGTAAATTCAGCAATAATACTTATTGGCTGTTCTTTGCCTTATTTTCTAATAATCATACCAACAATTATCGGTTAATCTTTTACTTGAAATCCTCCAGAAAACAGCAGTAAGACCGCTGTGCATCCTTCTGACCCTGAAGAGTCATTAGCATTGGTCTTGCATATCCGGAGGTGTATTGATAGAGTAATGAGGGGCCTAAGAGCTTTAAATACAGCGTTATGTATCCCAAATATTGTGAATAAGCCTTTTATTTTAATTTAACTCAATTTTTTTTTACTTACTTTTATTATTCTTCTGCAGCCGTGGCTTGCAGAGGGGGCGCCGTCATGCGGCCAACTAACACGGCAGCGCTGGGTGGTGAGTATGGAGGAGAGAGCTGAAAAAGCAGAAAAATGTTTGAAAGATAATTCATTAAAAAGGCATTTAAAATGCATTAAAGATAAAACGAGCAAAAAGCACGGACAAATGCGAGGGCTTTCCTACGGCCTTCTCTCAAGTCGCCCCTCTTCAGAGCAGTTTGATATCATTTGCTCTCTTTGACTGATTAGCAGAGCCTCAATCAAATGCTTTAAAGTAAAACCTATGCGCATTTGTTCTTCGAAATTTAATTAATGAGGGAAATGCAGCATTAGGCCATTCCTTCGTCCTCCACTGGACTGGGCTTATCGCAACGGACGCCGTTGCTGATGCTGCCTTTCTTCTTTCTTCTCCTTCTTCTGTCTCAGTTGAATACATGCTCTGTGTGCTCTTCATAACAGCAGCTGAAAACCAGAAGAACACGAATATCGCCGTTGAATGACCGCTTATAACGAGCACATTGCGGGCATCCTTGAGCTAAGGTTCAGCTAAGAAGCTGAAGGCGGAGGCCCCAAAGGCATGTTGAAGCTGATAGAGGTGCACAAGTGCAGTTCAAGGCTTCACCTGTTCTGACTAACTGCTACCTACCTACGCAGCAGCGTCAAGATGCAGAGCTATGACGCTCCATTTGTCCCGGTGGTTTCTGCAGCAGAAGCAGCAGAACACCAGCACCAAGATGAGGCAGCAGATGCTTCCTCAAGGGTGGTTACCGGCTGTGCTATGATGGTAGCTGCTTTCTTTATCGTTGTCTATCAGATATACGCTGCATGCATTTCGAAGCTGATGCCTCATTTGGGCATTTGGTGGCTTGACAGTGTGAAAGACGACTGGCATTTCTTCATCTTTCTTCCTGTTGCAATAGGTACATCGTCGGTATTTGTATACTGGAATTGGTTCGCCATCACGGTGTTCAGAAACAGCTGAAACTCTTTGCAAAGTGCGGCTGAGGCAAAACGGTGCCCGTTGGCGCTTTCTTGATGAAAACACTGAAAAACAAAAGCGACGGAAAGCCGTTTTATTTGTTTCGAATTCATTTGAATTTCAACTTTACGTCTTTAGAAGCCGATAAGATAGACAGCGCACAGATGCACAAAGTAGCTTCTACAAACACGCACTGAAACCATCGCGAATAGCTATTAGTTGAATGCAATCTACTAGAATTCATCTATTCAAGACTATAACCAGAAAGAAGTTATTGTGTGACCGAACTGAGTACGTAAAGCCGAAATGGCGTCAAAGGAAACAAGAAAACGAATAGTTTTGTTATTTTGAAAGATTGTTGTCACGCACGTTTAGAAGTGAGTAAGATATCCGCCAGGTTTCCGTTTGAGTGCAACTACTTTTGATCGGAGCTGCCTATACACCCCGCGATCTCGATGCAGAAGTAAACAACAACTGACGCATTTGAAACATGAAGAAATCAGAGCCATCCTTCATTTGTTGAATGAAAGAAACAAACCACCACCGAAACGCACCATTGTTTCTTCTCGCAATTGTTATTACTTTAGTTTCGCCATTGAAGCCATGCAGACATCTGCGGGAAGCGGCCTGAAGAGGCCGTGGAATACTAATGCTCAACGGAAAGAGCAGAGCAACAAGGAGATTCATCAGTTATCTAATTCAAATTTCTTTTCTCTTTCGCGGTCAACAGCGCGCACAGCAACAGAGCTTCCGCCTCTGCTGCCGGCGTCCAAGCAAGACATCAACGCCCTCCCAAGTAGAAACTCTGCAATATTTTCAACATCCCCGAACTTCATAGTGAATTAACCACTCGCTTTCTCGTTTCAGCTCCTCCACAACCCTCCGATGTCCCGCCACCTGCAAATTGCTTCGATGCCGACTTTTCGTTTCAGTTTCCCTCGTCTACTGTTTGTCGCTATGCTACTATCACTCAAGGAGGACGGTAAATTTCCCTATTTGCTTTTCTTAGCTCATGTTGTATATATATGTATACGTATATATATATATATATTTGCGGACCAATATATATATATATATATATATATATATATACATTTTGTGCATCATGTTTTGCATACTACTTTATAAATATGTTCTTGTAGGGCCAAATATCCCGTTCGAATTCGGAACGCAACGGAAGTGGCGCGTGCATTTATGGTAGGGTATTTTTTTTCATTTTGCAGCTCACTAGACTGCTGACGCTGCCTTCAGTTGCATGCACAAGGACGCGCTTTGGCTTGCCCCGCTCTTACCCCTTCTTCTCTTCTTCTCGTTAGTGAGAAAGGAGCGAAGGGACTTAAAGCGTGCAAGGAAGCTGCAGCAACTCTGCATGCAAGCTGCGGCGTTTCTCTGGGCAGACTTGAGGTAGGTGTGGTTTTCTTTTTTTCTTCGTTCAGCTGTATATACATCAGAGCGTCTGCGCCTGTTGCCTCCAGAGCTGTACTGAAACGCCCATTGAAGAAACAGAAATATCGTTGCTAGCATCGCTGCTTTCTTTTGCTTTGCGCTGTCGGCTGCTCCACAACGGGGTGTACATACACTGCGGCGAGCTGATGCAGCAATTGTTAGATTCGCGAGTGCTTTCTCAGCAGCCATCTGAATTGCAGAACAGAGCCCATATAAACTGTCCAGGGTTCAGCTTTGGTGTACGTGTGTTGAACTCTGAGAGACAAACTCAGAAGCCTGGGGGGGCTCTGAAGCTGCAGGGGCAGCTGCGAGTGCTTCCTTGCATCTATAGAGTTCTCCCTCTAAAAGAAAAAGAAGAGATAGGAAGACGAGTTTATTGTCTCCCCCGACTTGTCTCTCCAGCCACACTTGAACAACAAGAAGACCAACCGCCAGCTACAGCGCCGTTGAAAAGTAAAGAAGATTTCATAATGTTCTGGTAACATGCATGCATGCAGCTAAGTGATATATACAAGAAAAAACATTTCTCTCTCTGGGGTCTACCTCCACTGTTGTATTTGCATGCAGGTTCAGCTTGTTGTTTATGTAGAGTTTTGATGCTTATATTTTTACTTGCTAAATATATTGCTGCTTGTTGTTTATACTGTGCAACGCGTCTATAGTGCAGCTTACTGTTTATATTATCTCTTGTTCATATTTCAACATGTTGTTTATATCTCAACTTAATTTTATTTCTGTTTGTTGTTTATATTTTATCGTATTGTTTATATATATTATTTATACAAACATTGTTTTTATCATATATATTATTAACATTATTTATATTATTTATATTGGTGTCTATAAATTCATTTTGTTGTTTATATTTCAATCTGTTTTATATATTATTGTTTATAATTTTTATTGCTCTTTATATGCCCTTCTTTATATTTAAATTTGTTTGTAATTAAACTTGTTTTACTTAAACTTGTTTATAATTCAGCTTATTCTTTATATAACTACATTTTAGGCTGCTGCAGCACGGCTATAAATTACCAGAGAGCGCTCTTCGTCTTTTTGTTCGCGGTGAGTGTATTAAATTATTATTATTATTATTATTATTATTATTATTATATTTCTTTTGTTTATTAATAATATAAACATCAGTTAACTTCAACGGCCATCTCGAGCTCTCTTACCCCCAAGGTGATTTCTTTTTCTACTTTTTGTGCTGATGCAGACTCAGCTATATACATCTTTTTATTTTCTTCAGGCTGCTGCTGGAGAGAAGCCCCTTTGGAGTTGTCAGTGTTCTCATTCATCTCTTTGCTGCTGTCTGCATGCATGCATTCTTTGCCTTCTCTTTCATATAATATATAATATCTATATATATATATATATATTTTATATGTATATTTGATTGTATGCATATAGATATTCTTTTGCTAGTTTCCTTATACTTTACGGTTTCAGGCGCAGGGTGTCTGCACAGGTCAAAGGGCTGGTGGCTGCTCGCGCATTTCATTGTCTCTCTTCAACCCCCCTCTTGCATGCACAGCAGCTAACGGTCTCTAACTTGCCTTCTTCTTTGCCGCTGCTTCCTCCTTCAGCAGCGGCTCCTTCTGCGCTGCTCAACGCCCCCAGGAAGCATCTGCTGCCTGCTGCTGCAGCAGCTGCTGCTGCTGCGGGATCTCAAGATGTGCTGCAGCAGGCAGAAGCCTCTGCTGCTTTTGAAGAACTCAACCAACCAACTCCAAACCCAGGACAGCCCCACCGCCAGCTTCCCCCTCCTTGCCTTGCACGCCGTGTACATACACCTCAAATAGAACGACGGAAATCGAACAGCAGCAGCGATAAAACCCTTGCTGCTTCTCCTCAGGCGTCAGCAACAACTGCAGCAGACACCGCCGCTGAAGAGCAGCCGCAAGAAATACTAAACAGCAGCAAACAACATGCACATAGCGTTGAAGTTGAAAAGGAGAACAACAAGACCCCAAGACTGCTACCGCCACCAGCCACCTACTCTAGGGATAGGCTCGCAGCAACCGCAGCTAACGTGCAGCACCTTACAAAGCAGCAGAAGCAGCAGCAGCAACAGCAGCAAAAGCAACAACCAGCAGCGCCCGCTGCAGATGAACTATCGGGAGCAGCACCTGCTGCAGCTAAGCCAGCTGCACCACCATCTGCTGCAGCAAAAACAGCTGCAGCAGCACCTGCTGCAACAGAACTCGCTGCAGCAGCAGAGCCTAGGAATGAGACGAGTGCTGCAGCTCCACCCGTCCCAGCAGCAGCAGCAACAGCAGCTAGTGCAGCAACGACTAGAGAAGCAAACGACAATCAAGAAAAAGAAACAGAGTCCTCTAAAAGAAAGCAGGCGAAACAAACACAGGGAAAAACTGCCAAGAAGGCAATGCGAAAGCAGTCTGCAGAGCAGCAGCAGCAGCAGCAGCAAGTTGATTCGCTGCTGCACGAGCCGCTGCAGCAGCAGCAGCAAGATAGTCTGCTGCTGCAAGAGACGCTGCAACAGCAGCAGCAAGTTGGTTCCCTTACAAAGAGCCCCGCTGCTGCATGCGCCCACTCGGACGCAGCCCCACTTCCTGCTGCGCTGCCGACAGCAGCAGCAGCAGCAGAAGCAGCAGCAGAAGCAGCAGCAGCCCTCAAGAAAAAGAAAGCGCAGAGACCTGTAGGGAGGCCCCGAAAGGGAGGAAAACAGGCGAAGTAACGAAGCTCGAGCTGCTGCAGAAGACACTTCAGCTGCAGCAGCAACGCCAAGCTGCTGCTGCTCCTGCAGCAGCAGCGGCACCGGCTGCTGCAGGAGCAGCAGTACAACCCATGCATGCTGCATAGTTAGAGCAGCCACAGCAGCAGCACCTATATGCGCTGCACATCAATCAAAAACCGCTGCAGCAGCTCCTGCAGCACCAACAGTAGCCACCACTGCTGTTGCAGCAGCAGCAGCTGCTGCTGCTGCTGGTGCTACTTAGGAAACTTCTACTTTGGGTTGAAGGTCTGTAAGGCATTGCTGTATTTGATGTTTGTGTTGATTGATGGAGTCTGCGAATAGCTGCGGTGTCTGTGCAGCAAATGCTTCACTGATGATGCTTCTTAGTTTTTTAAGGGTGTCTTGGGTATTATTGTTTGTTTTGTTTTCTTCTTCTGTTTGATCTAAATGCTGCAGCTTCCTCTTTTGATTACTACTCTCTTCTTGAAGCTGATTACTAATAGCTGCAGCACGTGAAGTAAGAGCAGGTGGAAGCCCAGCGAAAGCTGCAACATGTACACCGTAAGAATTGTCTGCATGCCCTTCTTTAACATCATACAGGAAGGAGACTTGTCTCTTCTTTTTACATACTGCTGCTCTCACATGATAATTATGAACGCCTTCTACTTTACCCTCTAATGCTGATAACTCAAGAAAATGTGTTGCAAACAAAGTAAAACTTCGAGGCCGAGACGCCAACTCAGTCGCTACAGCCCACGCCAACCCAAATCCCTGAAGAAAATAAACAAATAAATAAATAAATAAATAAATAAATAAATAAATATATAAATACACAAGTAAATAAACCAGTAGATCAACAAATAAATAAATAAATAAATAGGTAGATAAAATAAATAAATAAATTGAATAAACAAATAGACAAATAAATAAATAAATAAATAAATAAATAAATAAATAAGTATATAAAATAAATAAATAAATTGAATAAACAAATAAATAAATAAATAAATAAATCAATTAGCCAATAAATAAATCGACGAATAAGTAAATAAAAAAATAAGTAAATAAACAAACAAATAACAAGTAAGTAGATAAATAATAGAACGAATATACTGTTTGTTTTATCGTGTAAACATGTTTATTGATAAAGCATTTGAACATATTTAAGTTTAAAGTTGTTTGTTTTTTGTCTAACCTCATAAGTAGAAGTGCCTCTGCCGATTTCATCAACAATAATTAGACTTTTTTTAGATGCATTCTTGAGAATTGCAGATGTCTCAACCATCTCAGCGAGAAATGTACTTACACCACGTAATTGCAAGTCTGAAGCTCCTACTCTGCACATTATTTCGTCAAAGATAGGCATTATGCATGCATCACAAGGAACAAAGCTACCTATCTGAGCTAACAATACACACAAAGCTACCTGACGAATATATGTTGATTTCCCTCCCATGTTAGGTCCTGTTATTACATGCAATCTTGACGAATTTGCATCTAAATAACAATCATTTGCTATTATATTACACCCTCCTACTACTACACCACCACCTCCTCCTTCTCCTGCTGCTGTTGTTGTTCCTGTTGCTGCTCCTCCTGCTGCAGCAGAAGATGAGCTGCTGCCTTTCAACCCTCCTAATGATAATCCCTGCACCTCCAGTAAGGCGTGACGACAAGCCTTTAAATGTAAAACGTCGCCTAAAAATATAAACATACACACTAACACATCCTTATTCATGCATGCATGCATGCATTCATGCTTCTATATGCATGCATGCATGCATGCGTACGTCTATATGCATGCATACTTCTATGTGCATGCTTCTATATGCATGCATGCTCCTATATGTATGCATATATGTACTAGCAGCTCTTGAATGATACAAACGGAGCGGCGGCGAGAGACTAAGAGATCAGGTGGAGAGATAAATAAATCAAATTAAATAAAAACGAAGACATCAAAGACAGACACAGAAAAAAGAAAATAACAAACAAACAAAACAAAAAAAGACAGAAAAATTAACCAAACGAAGAAATACACAAAAACAGACAAAGACGGACAAAGACACATAGATATAAACATATATGTATATATATATAGAGAGAGAGAGAGAGAGAGAAAGAGAGATAGAGGTAGAGATAGAGATAGAGATAGAGATTGAGAGAGAGAGACAGAGAGAGAGAGAGAACACCGAACAAACAAAGACGAAACCACACAAAACCCAAGCAAATAAACACAAACAATACGCAAAGAACAAAACAAAAAAAAAACAAACAGAGAGAGATGCACCAGCAAACATCTAAACAACGAAGAGACATTATATGCATGATTAGGGTTTAGGGTTTAGGGTTTTAGGGTTTACTCCTTCTTCATACACATCGAACAAACACCATCAGAAAATATCGAAACAAAAAAAAGAGAGATGAAAAGCATTAAAAGAACAGCAGCACTATATAATAATTATTAATTAGAAATAAATATTAAAAGCCTTACCCTCTTTTTTTATAACAGGTCGTACATACACTTTCGGTGCAGACACTGCAACTGCAGCAAACGATCCCAGCGCATCCATCGATCCCAGCAACTCCGACAGACGCTCGACTACCGGCCAGTATGTTGAAGCAACCTGTGCATACACCCCACACCCAATAACAAAACAAATATATTATTATTATTATTATTATTATTATTATTATTATTATTATTATTATATAATACACCTGGATGCGCATTTATCAACAGGTGCTTCTTGAAGATAATTGAATAATAAATTACTACAAAGAATAACAGAAAGAATCAGAATTAAGACAATAACAACAGATATATATATTATTTAAATAATAATAATAATAATAATAATAATAATTATTATTATTATTATATATATAATATAATAATATTAATATACCTGAATGCATTTATCGACAAGTGCTTCTTGAAGAAAATTATATTCTTCTTCAACTTCTTTATAATTCGCAGCGAGCGCCCGCAAACGATGAGTGGTAAATAAAAACTCTGTCTTGTTTAATCTAACTGTCTGAAAGTGTTGCTTGCGACTCTAAACAAATAAAAAATAAATAAATAAATAAATATGTGTATATACATATATATATAAATGTATAATATTATATAGCTAACTATATATTGTAGTGTATACACATCAATAAATGAATGAGCAAGCAAGTAAAGAGAAGAAATAAATTTTTTAAAATATGTAAACAGTAGCATAACAAACAGCAGCAGCAGCACCACAAGGAGCAACAGCAACAGCAGCATAACAAGCAGCAGCAGCATAACAATCTGCAGCAGGAGCAGCAGCAGCATAACCAGCAGCAGCAGCAGCAGAAGCAGCAGGAACGTACAAGGACGGCTTGCTGATCCTTTTTAACAACTCGAAGTGTAAATCCGAGTGTAGTGTCTAAGATAAGTTTAACTGCATTTGCTTCTCTCTTTCTTTCTAATTGAAGGGTTTGTTCAGCTTTATCTCTTTCTGCCTCGAGCTGCTGCAGCACCTGCTTCCGCTGCTGCTGCAGCTGCTGCATGCGGGGGTCAAACCGTTTATCAATTAAAAATCTCCCTTGCTTAGCTTCTTCTACATCTATTGAATGCTCCACCAGCCGAACAAACCCTGAAAACTTCTGCAGCGTATCTTGAAGCTCTTTGAACAGATAGTTTTTAACTGTATCTTCACCAGGGCCTGTATATCCTTTTAAATACCCCTAAAGACAGCATAAATAAAACTCTCAGGTGTATAGGCATCTTATTATATAATAACTTCAGGTGTATACACAGCTTATATATAAAGACCTCAGGTGTATAGGCATCTTCTATGAAGACTTCAGGTGTATAGGCAGCTTATATATAAAGACCTCAGGTGTATAAGCACTGTAACATGAAGGTATTAATTGTTTTATTAATTGTTTGATTATTTATTATTTCAACTCAAATTATGCATTTATTTATTTACGCAAATATTCAGGCTTAAATACGCCTTATATATATATTCATATATATTTATATTGTATACATATATACATACAAATATACATTATATATATATATATATTTATATACATATATACAATCATATATACAGATATATATATATATATACATATACATATACATATACATATACATATACATATACATATACATATACATATACATATACATATACATATATACATATACATATACATATACATATACATATACATATACATATACAGATACATATACATATACATATATATATTTAAATATATATATATATACATTTAAATATATATATAATATTTATAAAGAACAAAAGAAATAGTATTAGCAAAGAGACGTACGAGGAGGCTGTTGCTCTCAACAACGCAGTCGTACAGCTTCACCAGGTCTTGCAAACCCACACCCATCTTGCTGAAAAACATAAAATAAATAAATAAAATAAATAAATAAATAAATAATTAAATAATAAATAAATAAATAAATAAATAAATAAATAATTACAAAAAAGAAAAAGAAAAAATAATCAAAGCAGCAGCCACTGTTCAGTGCTAATACGGACAATACTAAACCCTAAACCCTAAACCCTAAACCCTAAAACCCTTAACGCTTAAACCGTAGAACCCCCCGAACGCGTAGCCCCTAAACCGTAAACCGGAAGCCCCCATCCCAACCCCTAAACCCTAAACCCTAAACCCTAAACCCTAAACCCTAAAGCCCGCCGATTAGTAGGAAAGAAGATAGATAGGAGTATTTACTTTGCTTTCTTTGTCGCTTTATTTGCTTGAGATGCTGCATGGATGCGGTGAAGCTTTGTAGACAATATATCAAGCTCGCAGACATGCTTAAAGTGCAGCTGAAACACCTCCTTACGAAACACCTCCTGCAGCCACAAACCCTAAACCCTAAACCCTAAACCCTAAACCCTAAACCCTAAACTCTAAACCCTAAACCCTAAAGTCTAACTTTTAAAGCGCAAACCCTCAACACTAAACTCTAGACCTGAAACTTAAAACCGTAAACCCTGAACAAAAAACCCTAAACAATAATAAATATGAAACAATAAACCCTAAACCCTAAGCCGTCAATCCTAAACCCTAACCCATAAACCCTAAACCCTAAACCCTATCTCGTGTGCACCAGCGGTAGGACAATAGAAAGATGATTAAAGGAGCGAAGGAAGAGTTAAAAAGAAAGGGTTTGTGCAGCAGAAGGAGGTGCCTATACACCTGAATATCCCTACCTGCATAAATGCTTCAACTATGTCGTGTCTCTTGCGTATTTCATCTTCATCTACAAGCGGCTGTGCAATAAACAAATGCAGCTTCCGAACGCCTAAAGATGTGCAGCAGCGGCGAGAGAATAACCCAAATACTGAGCTTGCTGCACCCGATCCTGCTGCTGCTGCTGCTGCTGCTGCTGCTGCAGCACCTAATCAATCAAATAAAACAAAATATCAACTTACATCCCCTCATCAACTTACATCCCCTCATACACACGCAACCGGAACCCTAAACCGTAAACCCTAAACCCTAAACCCTAAAATAACCCCCAACGGCACTGTTACTGATTCTGCAAGGGCTTCAGACTGAAGGGGTGCTGGCAGTCGTGAGGGTTTAGGGTTTAGGGTTTAGGGTTTAGGGTTTAGTTATACTGAGTTTGTCTTTTGCTGCTGCATGCGCCTCTCCATACTTCGAGCTGCAGGGCAGAATGCGGTGCTGCTGCTGCCGCTGCTGCTGCTGCTGCGGCAGCAGGTGCAGCGCAGCAGCAGCAGCAGCATCGATATTTAAAAAAGAAGAAATCGGGTATATGCCTAGAGAACAGGCGTGATACAAAGAATCATCCGAAGCTAGCTGCACACCCACAAACCCTAAACCCTAAACCCTAAACCCTAAACCCTAAACCCTAAACCCTAAACCCTAAACCTTCAATCCTAAAGCCCCCTACCCAGATCAGGCAAACCCCAGACCCTAAACCCCAAACTATAAACTCTAAACCCTAAACCCTAAACCCTAAACCCTAAACCCTCACGCTCCAGTAAGAGATGAGAGCAGCTAAGGCGTCACAAGCAATTTGAAGGCGAAGCTCTTTTGCAGCTGCAGGCTTCAAAGCAGAGGGAGGAAGAAGAAAAGATATATCTTGAGATAAGTTTGTCTCTGTAAACAACAAATAAATAAATAAATAAATAAATAAATAAATAATATATATATATAATACATAAATAAAGCTTTAAAAGAAATATCTTCTGATATATCTGATAGCCTCGACAAGCAGAAAAAAACAATAAAAAATTAAACTAAATAAATAAATAAATAAATAAATAAATAAATATAAATATATATAAATATATATAAATGTACATCTAAGTAAAGGAACAAATATATATGCATATATATAATATACGCATGAGCATATATATATAATATATATATTATAAATATTATATATATGATATAATATATATATTATATTATTATTTATTATATATATATCAATCGGTAGGTAAATATACAAACAATATCGTACAACGAGGTAATTAATAAACGCAAAACAAACAAACAAACAAACAAACAAACAAACAGAACAAAGAATAAGACAAACAAGCAAATAAATAAATAAATAAATAAACAAACAAACAAATAAACAAACAAACAAACAAACAAACAAACAAAACAAACAAACAAACAGATAAACAAACAAACAAACAAACAGAACAAAGAATAAATAAAATAAAACTAACGCGAGAAATAGTTCTTTTTTGCTTCGATGAGCTCAGCACCGACTGCAAAAACAACAAAAGGCAGCCGCCGCTGCCAAGGCGAGGAGTCGCCAGAGGGAGTCAACACCGAGACAGCCCCAACCTGCATGCATGCATGCATGCATGCAGCAGCAGCAGCAGAAGAAGAAGAAGAAGCAGCAGCAGAAGCAGAAGGAATGAGGCAGCAGCAGCAGAAGAAGCAGAAACAGCAGCAGCAGAAGCAGAGATAAATTGCTTTTGAGTTTGTTGTTGTTTGTTTTTTTAATATTTTTTTATATAATATATATTGTGTAATATATATATATATATTATTTATATAATATGTTATATATATATGCTTATTATAATATATATTATATATATATTGTCGTAGACAACAATATATATATCTTTATGCATAATGTACGTCAAACGTATATATGTATATATATTTCACAGATTTAATTATTAATATTTATAATATATATATAATATAAATATATATAATATATATATTGCATGCAGATGCACATGGATACTTTGATATATAGTTTAGGGTTTGTTGTTGAGGGTTTATTGCATATTAAACAGTAGGGTTTTTGACTGCTGTTTAGGGTATAGGGTTTAGGGTTTAGGGTTTGCCTGCATAAGAATTGCTTCTAAAGCAGTAAGATGTTCATCGCTTGATATCTCTACAAGGCTGAACGAAGTGCGTCTCGCATCAAAGACAGCTAAACCCAAGCGAAGCCCCGGGCCGTCAGCAGCACTTTTTGCTGTTACTGCGCACAGCACAGCTTCCGTGTTGCTGCTGCTGCTGCTGCTGCTATCTGTTGCTGAAGGCGAGAAGGGGGAGCCTTCACCTGCAGAAGACTGTATATCCATCTTTGAACGAAAAAGAGAAGATCAAAGAAACAACAAAAAGATGCTGCATCACTCAGCAGCACATGCCCGAGGTAATGGGGCGAAAAGAAACCACTGGGAATAGGGTTTAGGGTTTAGGGTTTAGACAATAGAGTTTATTCATTAGGGTTTAGGGTTTAGGGTTTAGGGTTTAGGGCTGGTGGTTCAGAGAAGCAAATGGGGTGGTGATGAAGCCCCGTATACAACTTCTTGAATAGGTGATGTTTCCGGGGTTAATTGAGGGGAAGACGGCTCAAATTTTGAGTTTTTGGATTTGTTTTAATGTTATTATTAATTAAAATTCAATTTCATTCATTAAAAATATAAATACACCCTTCTTTCCCTCCATTTTACGCACCAACCTCAACCACACCGCTCTAACTCAAGTGTACATACACCTGAGGTCAACGAGTGCTTCTTCTTTAGCATTTTTCTCATTATTTGATTTATTGAATTCACAATTATTTCGTTATTTTTATTTATTTGTTTATTTTTATTTTGTTTATTCGCTGTAGTAGTCTACAAACCAAAGAAGACAGCGCTGCTAACTACACCCACTCGCTGGTGAGGGCGTCAGGGGCTGCTGTTTTTTTAAGTAAAAAATTATTTAAAAAAACCTTAAAACTCATTCTAAAAAAGAAATAAACAACAAAAAATTAAATATATATTACATATATATTTATATTTATGCTTATATTTATATGTATAGACTCAGCATTCAAAACAACGTCTGCCTACTGGGGAGGCTGTGCATAGACATCAGAACTCGAATTAAATTAATAAATCAAAAACAAATTGCACAAATAAAGTTATTTCCTCATCAAGACAGAGACAACCCCCTATATATATACAT